ACTGAAAAGTGAGTATGATGTGAAGGACATTTTAAGAGGGTTGTATCTTGTTTTAAGTTACTTAAGGAATGTTAGAGATGCGTACAATCCACTTACTTATAATACTCCACCGCTGGAGATGTAGCATTATCACTCGGAGGCGCGCCTAGAAAACGGATCAAGACGTTATGCTACATTTTAAGTCTCGTCCAGGAGGAAGGCTTGAATTGCTCAATTAAACAGCTAATAAGAGAGGATAAGTGAATGAATGATTGAGATGAGTGCGTGGAAGGACGGGAAGAGAGTTTTACCAATGGGTTGGCAAGTAAAATTGTTGTTCCACCAGTTGTCACAAGTAGACCAGGGTAATTGTTTGTTGAAGGAGGCGAAGAGGTAGAAAAACGCTGTGGCAATGATGACGTTGTAGTAGAGTGAAATGTACCATGACACTGTGGTCATCGCGTAGCCGACTCCTGAAACAGCCGGCAAAACTTAGGGTGAAACAAGTGCAGCTCTTACCTTAACGTAATATTTGGTATTAAGTTAATGCGTTATAACCCTTAATGGTGAATAAATAACAAGACACCTTGCAAAAGATATGTGATATTTAAGCATGATTTCTTTCTTGAGTAATATGCAGAATATCGGCTCACCTTTAAAAAGTGGACTGATCGACCAAATAGAGATGGGACCCAGACTGGCAAACTGTCCAAAAGCAAATTCCAGGAAAAAAATAGGAAGACCCAGACAAATAAGCATGATCACATAGGGGACCAAGAAAGCACCTAAGTTACAAAAAAAAGGTAAATGAGTGTCAGTGTTTCCGGTGGCAAAAGGGCTTTGAATGGATATTGTGAGAACAGCCCTTTACATTAATCACTTTAGGCCATCCACATTTGGCGCAGAATAATATGCTTACCTCCACCATTTTTGAAGCAGAGGTAAGGAAAACGCCAAACATTGCCCAAGCCAACAGCAAAGGCGACACAGGAGAGAATGAATTCAATTTTGAGGCCCCAGCCGCCCCGCTCATTGGGATTTTGGGCGTTGGCTTCGACATCAGTATCCTAAGTGAAAAAATAAATAAATAAATAAGACGTTAAGTGTGTGACAATTCATACACAGTATTTTGGTCATTCTCTAAAGGGTACTGCAATGACTAGCTGGAATCCTGATCGACTTGGTAAGATGCCAAATCTCAATACTTCCCAGAGGACCCTCAAGTTTGCCGAAACTTCCCTATGGCAAGAGGGAGCGGCAAGTACTTAACAATATGTAATCGAACTGTTTGACCTCAAAGAAAGTGACGAATTATGAGGGTGTGAATGACACATTTTTTCATAAGCAAGCGTCTTGACGTTGAGAGGTGGCAGAGCACTGCTTTTGACGCTCACGTAACGCGCAGACATCAACCCATACGTAAAGAATATCACCCAAGTCAAAATGCGTGCTGGTAAAATTTTGTATTTATTTGCAGATAAAAATGACATAATACCCAACTTCACATCTCCTATAAACAGTTAAAAATTTTCAGTAAATCATTAATTGTCAAAGCGAAGGATATGACCTTTGCTGGCTGAGACGATGAAAAGACAGTAAATGTTGTGTAAATTTAAGGTAGGTTTATTCTTACATTATTTGATCATGAAATTGTTTCAGTAGCAGCCTTAATAACTTTTTTCCCTCTTTCTGTGATCCAGCATACGGAAGGATCACACACCATGAAATGTCGCCAACGGAGTCGCAAGTAGCCCACCGCTAATTCTATAAACGTCGAGGAAAGGGAACTTCATTGAAGGCAGCTACGATTTCGCCCATTGAAGCGGCTTTCGGACAGCTTGTGTAGGCAGAAAGAAGAAGCAAGCAAAGTTGCGAAATAAAATTTTTCTGAGTATCAGTAATGGGAGGACAATGAATATTGCATTTTGAGCATTTTTGACAAGAAATAGGGTGATCATTTACACTTGTGGAGTGTGTCCGGAATTAACATTCACTTGAAGGGCATGATACCAAAAGTTGATTGTAGTTATTATGCGCTCGTCTAAAGACCTTTCCATCTTCCGGTTATTACGGTGAATGAACACACGGTTGTGTCAATTATCCGAGCATGAACAGACACACTACGGCCTAGATCCACATGTGAGACAGGTCAGTAATAAAAACTACCTTCCTCTTATGGGGGTGAACTGTGGCAGCATTGTTCAAGCGTAACATTTCTCGTTTATATTAAAGCATATTTGGATTTTGTAATTAATGTCCTAAACGATACTGAAAAAGAAGCCGTAGAAGGGGATTTTTAGCGTTTATAGAGAAAACCATTACTATTGCATTTAGAACCTCAACCTGACACAACACGGAATTGGCAAATGTCGTAATTTGATGTTTTGTTTTACTGTATGTCAAACTACGCGAGCACTTTAGTCCCCGGAGGTTACAACTTGGCTCTGGGCCGTGGCTTTTGGGGCACGTGAGTCGTCTCCCGGCTCTTCCGCACATCATTAGCACGTTCTTCCACCTTACTTTGGTTTATCACGACTTCAGAGGAAATTTTTCTGGTGCGCAAGCCTTACCTTATGATAGCACAAAAACCATAAACTTAAAACACCATTTGTTATCGAAAGCACTTACTGAGAGATGATTTTTCACTTGAAAGCTAGTTCTAGGGCGGGAGGAGGAACAGTTTACCAAGGAAAATACGAATATTACATGCTCAAGCCTGCCAATGTGGATATTTGACTTGAAAATAGTGGAAATAGTGCATTTTGTTTTGTCAGGGTGGAGGTGGTAGTAAGGCTTGGTGTGAGGGCAGCTGAAGGAGCTGTGCAACACAAACGATGGCATCGAAGTCTGGATGATAAGTGACCTTGTCACTACAAAAGAGTCGGAGATGCACAAAAATTGCAAATAGGTGCCAATTAGACCATCTTTGCACCCACCACTTTAAGCCAAAAATACAATCAAATCAAGTAGGCCTGCCAAACCAAACAAAGACTAGCCACTAAGACGCGACAGAGAGTACGAATGAGGTTTGATGAATGCCTTGTATGTAAATGAAATTACTCGCAATTAATTCTACTTATATATGCGTGAGCTTTGGCTTTCCAAAAGCTCCGTTGGCACCCTGACACCAAGGTGCTGCTGTATTGATGCGGCAATTGGGTTATGTGAGAAGGGGAAGAAATCATGTGACGTTTTAGCCTAGACTTGACCTCTGATGGCAATGAAAATGGCGCCCATAACGTTATCAGCGTGTCAGGCCAACACGCTGGTAATGGTGGCATAAGTGCAGATATCCATTTGATACTTTCAAAATAAGGCACAAACAAAAAGGACGATGTTTATTACAAGACTTTCTACTTGAAACAAGTCAAATGTATAAGGCGAAAATTGGAAGGGCTTCATTTTATGAGAGGGCTAAAAAATTGCGCGTTTTACGTTGTAATACTATCATATAAGAATCTATCAACCAAAAGCAGGCTGCTTAAACCCGGCAACGCTGAGATCTGAGGAGGTTGATCACTGCGCCTTACAACCCTCAAATCCTCATTCCACAAAAGCACGTCTAATCCTGTTGCCATCCAAGGGGGAGATTTCACAGACAAGCGATAGCCGTGTTAGGCAAGTGGAGCGGCATCACAGACTCCGACGCCCCGTTGGATTGCGCTTTCCAGCTATCACCGCAACGCAAAGCAACGATGCCTTTTTAAGCTACCTTGAGGCAATATATTGCGACTAGCTTGTGGGGTGTTCATTACAGTCCGCTGCGGTGCAGATACTACGGCATTAAAAACTGCGCGTCATTACGGGCTTAACTCACTCGCCATGCCCGTCTCATTACCGACTACCTTCAACCCTTCAGTAAGTCAAAAATTGGTCCAACTTTTAATAGGATTAAAGTGTCTACAGAATTATTGATATGCAACTCTTGGCAAACCATAGCATAAATGGGAGAATCAGAGTGCTGTAATGAGAAGTAGGCAAATGGCTGTGAATTTAGGCGAATGGGTGCGAATAATTGCCATGAAATGAATGTGCTTAAGTTATTGTCTTCAAATAAGAAAAGCCTACTAATGAAAATCTGTGCTACTTCACAACAATAAATTTGAGAGCATAGAGCATAAAATGTAGCATATGATGTGTTAAATTAGAAATGGAACGGGAAAAAGCCACAAAACAAGTATGGAAAGTTCAACATGTAAAGGTCATCGAAAAGTTTGTCTGATGGTAGGTCTTTAATGCTTGATATTGGATGCCTAAGTTTTTCTGTAAAATTTGCACTGATCGTGTGTCTATTTAAACATTTAAATGCATTTACGCAAGATGGATTTGGGTCAGCTTACTTCAGAGTCATTCTTCCTTGGGTTACCAGCCGATTCCCCATTACTGTAGGGGGGAAAATCAAGGTCGACGTCGTCGTCGTTGCCCTCTGGAATAACTGCGTCAGGCAGCTTTGGCTCGTTCTGGCTGATTTTCTCTCTGATCTTCAACTTTCTCTCAGCCATCTCTTTTTTGCGCGATGCCGCTCAGGAGAATTCCTCCATAATATGTACATGTCGTTCAACTAACTCATCAATCAGATGGGAGCGCACGGACGCACCACGGCATGCACACTCTTAGAGGGCGGTGATTGGTGCAGCATGGGTCGTCACGCCTGGCTAACCAATCTGTTCAAAAGTAGTATTTCGCCGTGGTGTTAATTCTTACCTTATAGCACTTTATTTACCTAACTGAACGAAGAAAATAACTAGTCTTTATTCAGCGCTCAAAAGCTTCTTTTGAGCAAAAAAGTCTCAAATCTTTTTAGCGTTCACCTTTTTAATGATGAAAGTTGTGAACAAAATAGGGCGTTTTTGTGGGTGAAACATTAGATCTAAACGATGTAGCTCATGTAGCTATCGAATGGTTATCTAAATTTCCATTAAAAATATATGTCTGGTAGAAGCTGACAGTATGAGTAAAAAATTGAGCTGCATTTACTCAATGGTGTTTAATAAGGATGCTTCTGGGCACTAGTAACTGGTGATTTACTTGAAAAGCCTTAGTTCAATTTAACTCAAGTCTGATCTTGCCACATGTTACCCACCCCTCCCCAAAAGTTATCTTAGCTTTATTGTTATTTTAAAGTGAGTAGTCAAACACTGCTGAAGAACCTTAGGTCCACCTTCTAAAGCCCGTGGTCGTGAACTTATCTGTCTACAAGTTACGCTCTGGTACTTCGTGTGTATGTGTGTGCGTGTGTGTGTCAACTAACAGCTGATAAGCCTTCTATACGCCTACACGTTTTCAGCAATGCCTACCACTCTTTGAAAGACCGCAAACCTCAAATCAGGTAACATCTTTTAGATAAATAAGGGTTGCTATTGATGGCCGTTTGGGTTTTACGAAGGAAGCCTCTTGATCATCGCCCAAAATCTACTTATTCTTTAATTGATAGTAGTCGTTTGGGCATAGTGGGAGGCGCTTGATTCGCCAATAAGGTGTCTAAGTTGATGACAAGGTGATGGGACAGCTCCACTTAGACGCACAAGAAGGCAAAAATTATGTGGCATTTGAGAACCTCCTGGGCTGAAAAACCCCCCGTGCAAATACAATAGTTCGTCCCTCAGTCAAGAGGGGCGAGCAAGGGGAATCCATTTTTGATCTGAGTTAAGTTGGAACTTGACTAGGCATTCTTTTTTAAAATTAGATGAGCGCAATTTGTTGTGAAACCTGTCAATCAGTCAGAAAACCTAATCCACCTTCACGCCAAACATTCACCAACACCTTTCACAAGGCACATAAATTATTCCCTCTTAAAAGTTTGCCATGTCCACTCATATAAACAGGCCAGCTTTGGAAACAGAATCTTGTCTAACTTAATATTTGATTTTCCGTGTGAATCACAAAGTAGGTGCACAATTGAGTTAAATATAGACACCCTTTCAATTCCATGTTCGGTCGACAAGCCTGAATCGGGAAATTACGTAGATAGCTGAGAGGTTTTAGAGTTTGGGAGTACTTCTTACACAGACAATCATTGTGTCTCGTCGAGGAGTTAGTTTTACGCCTCAACTCCGTTTGACCACTAAAGAGGTGAGGAAAAAGATACGTGTCGGTTTTGGCAATTCGCCACTGGATTTGTTGTACGGAAAGTGAAATAACTCCACTCTCTCGCTCTAGCTTCCAGAGAAGCCTCAGTACCTTAGGCATTTCGTCACGCGAAGTGACTAAAATAGGAGACGGAAAATCTGTTGCGCAGGAAGCGTTTCTATGTGATCGGTCGCATTCCTAATTTCTTCCTTTTTTATCTGAGGTGCATAAAAAGCCATCCAGAAATAGCCGTTCTACACTAGATATTTTGAAAAAGTGGGATCATTCCCAATATAGTTAAGCAAATCGTATTACTCAAGCCAAACGCCAGAGCTTTTCATATGAATCAAGCAAGGGTTAGTTTCTGCTTCAAGGTATGTCTAAAGTTGCGGTCTGCATGCCTAATCTTATCTGGCTATGTAACTAAGCCATTACAAAAAGTTACACTGAATACCAAGCATATGCGCTGTTCTCTAGCAGAGAATGGAAAACAAAATTTAGAATGACTTTTTCATTGTGATTTAACTCATGGAATTTTTTACGAAAAATGCGAATTTTTATGCCCCACAGGTCTGTTTAATGCTCACACTCGATGCCTTTGGTGTTAATTTAATACCAAATTTGTCGAGAAGTCAGAATGGGCTTGACTCGGAGAAGGCAGCGCCACGGTTTCCGCTGTCTCATAGACACAGGGGTCTCGGCGCGTTCATCAGAATGTAACTTCAAATCTGTCACGTGCAGCGGCACATGGGAGGGTGACTTGGCATTATGGCAGATGCGAGGGACTCATCACTGGATGGCAAGAGCTCAGCTAAATGTGTGCGCGGATGCACGTATTGGAAACAAAATTTTCCATGATAATCACATTATTACATCGTGATATTAAAAGTCTACATACATACATACATGCATATATACAACATACATCGACATTATCCACGCCTACTCGGCGTGGAGCCATTTCATTTTTCACTCAAATTGACATCTAACTTGTTAGCATACATTTATGTTAGAAATCAAAGGGCTGAATCTATAACTCTCCTGCCTCGTATGGAAGTGTCTTTTAAGGTCATTTAGTCAAAACTGACTGTTTAAAATCTACAATTTAGCACTTTGTTAACTTCTAAATGCTTATTCTGATATCATCTATCGTAGTAAAAAGAAGTAACCTTTGGTCCCGAACGAAAATTTAGGGCCATAAAAATACTTGAAAGTAAATTGGTTTCGCACTTTCAAATGCACTACCAATCATCATTCCCCCTTAAGTTGGTTAATAATAGAGGCTTTTGTGCTTACTGCGGAGGAAAGGTATTAACAGAATATGATGAAAATGGGAAAATAAACGGCTGGATATGAGAGTTGGAAACCGAGAAGTAATCCAGATCGACCAGTAAATGACAAACCCGCTAAGTAACTCTGAGGAGTGGCATATTCCGACTTTCTAGTAAAGTGCTTTTGCCCCATTTACATAAACACAACTGTTTATACTCGTAGAGGCGCCAAGAGAACTGCTAAACGGATGAGATTGACAGAATGCTTCGGATGCTTTACTATGAAGTGCATCAAACATCAGTGCTATTCGGCTACACCGTGGTATGGTTTCAATACAGCCCCAGACACATCCCAAACACGAATATTTTGTCTGATTTTTTCTTACTTTGGAGTATTTTGAGGTAACTGTTTTGATACACGACCTCGAGTAGATGGGATTTGAACTCACTGACAAAATTCTTCATTTCTAGGAAACCAAAAGTCTTAGCATTGCGAAATTAGGCGTTTAGCAAGCAAAAATAGCGGTGTTTTAAAACAGAAACACTACAATCCATGCTGCAGTTGCTCAAGGGATGGCTGATTGAACGTAACAGCTATGCATGAGCCTAAAATTTAGGCAGTTACGTATTCGAATGCAGTAATCGAAGGTGGTGTGGCAAGAAGTCCCTCAGAATTGGTTGAGGGTTTAGGGGTAGACTTCATCCGCCACCAGTAGGTGTACCTTCGAGTTGAAGTGGCTATGAAAAGTCACCTGTCTACTGAATGTGAGCGTGAAGCCATACGCACAAGATACGGCCCTTAAAGGCATCATGTGTTAGATTTGACAGGCTCAACCATATGTTGCAATGTTTTAGGTATGCACTTTCTTCTCTAACCCTCACAGTCGCATAAAGGAGCACGGAGAGATCCAGAGCTCTATTACAATATAAATGCGTTTAGTAGATGGTGGTTGCAGCCAAGGCGTTCCTATAAAATTCTCTTTTAAAACATGTTCGTATGTGCTATGGGACATTACCGAATTCGAAAATATGTAAAATTGGTCTAAGAGACTTTTGAGGTTCCAAAATCTTGTTCTGTTAAAATCTCTGAATTTAGGTGAAATCCAGATTACGTTTCCACAGCGACCATTTAAATGTATGTACCTAGATTTCCTTTTTTTAATGAAACGTTGCCATTTTTTCTGGTGGATAAAAATATTGCTTGATGGAAAAAAGGTTGAATTTGCAAGATATGAGTGAAATAGCCTTAAACATGCCAATTTACAGCACAATAAAATGACCTATTCACTTTAACAAAAAACGTACCGTTCTGAAAACACCCACAAGAAAACGCCTTAAACTACGCAAGCAGACTGACTATCCTTTTCTCGACATTTTTGACGAGTCCTAGCAAGACCTCATGACAGTGACAGTCTCCGTTTTAAGAGGTCACAATAGGATGGAGACAGCATTCGCTGTTGCGCAGTTTGCGTATCGCATCGTTCATCACGTCACAAGCGGTGCGTAATTGGCTCCTTTGGACTCCAATGTACCAAAGTATGTATGGGTGTACATTTGAGCTACTTTGCTGACTTTCCACAGTCTTTTCCAACAAAATATTCTATGCACAGCAAGAGTATGTTAGATGTACTGGTTTCCAAATATCCAAATCCCACAAAGGCTCTCAGTGCCATGACTAAATTCAGAGAATTTCATAGAAATATTCTATACAATCCTCAAGAGCATTAAAGCATGTACTTTAAAGTGTATTGCATTAGCACAACGGAAGTAAGGTCCAGTTTGAGACATCCTTTCCAAAAATGTTCAAATGGTAGCTTGTTCGTACTTGAAGGAGAGGACACCATTTGGAAGATTGGAAATATCCACAACACTCATCATCACACGCCTCGCGAACTCCAAAAGAAGAACCAAAAACTACTAAAAGCACTTTTATTGACAGTGATAAATAATTTCCAGAGCATCGTTGGCATCTGTGCGATCAGCTTCTACTTTGAGTGTGGCGCGGTGGTTTTTTCGCCAGTCATTAATAGCTTACGCACACTGCCGTTTGCCTGCCAAGTCTATGTGAGTCCTCCTCTTTTTTTTTCGTGCACTTTAGGAATAAATTGAGCTAAATGGGATTAAGGCATACTAGATACTTTCATACAGATCACAAATTTGTG